GGGGAAAAAAGACAAAAAAAAAAAAAAAAAAAAAACAGACTCAAATACAGAGAACAAACTGGTGGCTTCCAGAGGGGAGGTAGGTGGAGGGTTGGGTGAAATAAATAAAGGTTATTAGGAGTACACTTATCATGATGAGCACTGAATGATGGATAAGACTGCTGAATCATTATACTGTACTCTTGAAACTAATGCTAATTATACATCAATCAATCAATAATTTAAAAAAATTATAAAAAAGAGGTCCTGAAAGTTGCACTCATGGATTTAAGTCTACAGTATTCCAAAGGAAACACACACACACACATACCTTTTTCAGTTTGCTTTAAATATTGAGTTTCATATTAAGATGGTGTTTGGATTAATAAGCTACAGCTGACCTTTTTTTGGAAACAACTGAGGAGACTTTCTATTCCAGCCAAAATGGACTAAGAGGGGCTATGTGTACCCTCCTTCCTAAAACACAACAATAGCAACAATGACAAAAAATATAAAAAATGGTTTTTTTAAGACATGGACATCAGGCAACAACAAGATCCCTAAGAAATGAGAAGCCAAGGAGATAAATCTGCTTGCCCTGTTTATAGTCTTGAGGGTTTCTTAGCAGAGGCACAGGGACAGTAACTCAAGAGTGGCAAATTCCCTGAGTTGACGAAGCAGGTCTGAAAGTATGGGAGGATAAGGTGGCTATGGTTCCCAGGACGGAGCACCTGGCAGAGAGCTACTGTATAGAGAAAGATCTCCTGAGACCTGCAGGGTCCCACTTGAGAATGTAGCAGAGTACTGATCAGGGCAAATGTTTGAGGAAACTTCCCAAGGCTGGGTATTCCTTAACTCTAAGGAATAAGTAGATCTAAACAATGATCAATATCTGCTAACATCACAAAAAGAGAGAGAACCAGTAGTCTTGCTCAGCCTCCTCCAAATGCATTTGGTCAAGTTCCTAATCTTAATTACCAATTAGTAGAAAAGATATGGGACAGAGGAGCTTATTAAACAACTCCACAGGAAGGCATCAGCAAATACAAACCATGGAGAACTCTACCACCCAAATAATCCAGTTTCCTTAACAAACAAGGACAAATAGATAGAAGGGAAACCTACAGAGTAAAAGAGAAGAGAAATAACCAATTGCAATGTACAGGTCTTACTTGTATTCTGTTTCAAACAGCAAAAAGTAATTATAAAAATTTAAGAGACAATTGAGAAAATCTGAATTTTGATTGTGCGTATTTGATAACAATAAGAAAATACTGACTTTTATATGTGGTTCATTTTTTTGGTGTGATTCATTTTTTTCAGTTAAAAAACAAGTCCTAAAAAAAAACCAAACAAGTCCTAATCTTATAAAGATATCTGCTGAAATATTAAAGAATGAAATTATGTCATGTCTGGAATTGGCTTCCAAATAATTTGGGGTGGGGGTAGGAAGTGGAAATAGGGATATGTTGAAACAAAATTATCCATGAGATGATAGTTGTTTAAGGTAGGAATAGGTGTATGAAAGTTCATTATACCAGCCTCTCTAGTTTTTAGTATATTTCAAATTCTCATAATAAAAATTTAGATAGGTAAATTAGAAATATGTCAATAAATACATAAGAAATTGAGGCAGTGATTCAGAACTCAGAGGTCACTGGCCATGATGAAAACTATTTCTCAGACATGGAGATATCAGAAATGATATTTTACAAGGACATTGAGGACTGTGATTTGTAGCATTCCCTTAATGGAAGACCATATTTTCTCCACACAGAACACTGGCTTTTTAGCAAGGATAGACCTTCTTTCTGAAAATAGACCTGGCAGTATGCAAGTGGTTGACTACCTAATTGAAGACACCAAAAGACATCAAAGGAGACCAAAAACCTGGGTCTACAGATGTGGCTATTATGTCTTCCTGTTCTCTTAATAAGGTTAGGTTTATGAGAATTTTAACAGAGCATATGACTGCTATCCTTCCAACAGCATCCCTGCAATACAAACTCATCCAGTTCAATCTTGCCATTCCTATGAAATGTTCCTGTTTGCTCCTTGTCGCAACTCCACCTTTCAACACACATTTTAATTTTTTGGTTTTGAGGTCAGGAAGATGTCCAAAATTTTTTTTCCCACTCAAATAATTCATTAGAAATATGTTCCATCAAGAATCTAGTTGTTTTTGCAGTAGGAAGGACACTGTGAGTAGCTTGTCCAAGGTTCTGCCAAAAGAAGTCTCCTCTTATCTGAATCTTACCCATTCAAAAGGATATGTTCAAAGCCAATAAATGGAGTTCCTAAAAAGATGAATGTTACATCTTCCATTTTAAAAACTTCCTCATGGTCTCTAGTTCAGTATCCTATAAGTAATCTATAGCCTACATTTCTTACTCAAGAAATGAGCTGATTTGCTGACTTTAAAAAAAAATCAACATAAATTTTAAATTCTCAGTATATTTTAACTAATAATTCTGTCTATAGTATTACTGACTAGTAATATTCTTAAAATATCATGATGCATCCTAATGTTTATTTTCACTAAATGCCTAAAAAGGCCATGGGAGCAGAGCTTTAAAATATGATTTAAAATCTGATGTGTGCTTTGGAAGCAAAATCAGCTTTGGGGACTCAAGGCTAGTGAGCATTTTTGTAGGTTGGTTACATTTTGCACTGCAAGATGCATTACAGAAATTGTAACTGAACTTTTCGAAATATTTATCATCATTGTTACAACTTTCATTAGAGTGTTTTTCTTTTTAGATGCAGTCTTGCTTATAATGCCCATTTTAAAAGTTGCTACCCCAGGCTTATAAAACAAAGTTATAATGTCTTCCCATCAACAGTATTAAAAACATTCATCTCTAAGAAAGTGTTATAAAGAAATTCCACTGCAATTATAACTCAAATATTAAAGAAAATATAAAAAATGATAATGTATTATAGAATACCAAATGATTAGAAATTCTTTGTAAGACTTTAATTTCTGATAAAAGCAAAATACCCATATAGTAGCCACTAGTCACACGTGGCCTATGTAAATTTAGATCAATTAAATTTAAATTATATTCAAAATTCAGTTTCTCCATCAAACTAGCCACATTTCAAATACTCACCAGCCACATGTGGCTACTGGTTACCATACTGGACAATGCAGATATAGAACAATGTCCATCATGTCAGAAAGTTTGATTGAGTAATGATGGTCTTTGTTAGAGAGATCACTACTGATGAATGGATGTGCATATATCAATTTATTTCTCCCAAGTCATTTTTCCTTTAGTATAGGAGGCAGAATTAAACTGATAAAATTTAAATCGCTTTTCTGGAAAATCTATATTCTCATGTAAATATTTAAAACTGTGCCACAAGCATTGCAGTGTAGACATTCTTTTTCCTCTCACCACAAGGAGAATGGAATTTCAAAAGATTCCACCTGCTCAAGATAGGGAATTATGGCATTAGCCAGTCTTCTTCCCCTTTGATTCACATTTTTCTTTATAAAGATCTATTCTAACCCTGCTGCTTTCAAGTTTACCCAGCAATGGCCCAACCTTTATTTTGTGGCAAGGAATTCCTATTTAGAGGGGAGTACTTCAGGTCTCAAAGTACATAGTTGTGAAGTTTGTTAAGTAACATAAGAAAACTCACTTCCTATTCAGGTCCTCCTTCCAGGACAGGAGGCTCTTACACCCTTCCAAAGTACCAACAAATTCCTTAGTCTAACACAACTTCTCATCTCTCAATTCAGAAAGATGCATTTTGTAACATATGTAAAAAGACAAAAACATGGAAAGGCATAAATAATACCACACTGTCATGTGGGAAAGTGAAATGCTCCTAAAGTGAGATACTGAATAGGAAGGGTCTGTCTAATTCAGCAGAGAAACTGAGTGAGATCATCTCTACCATTTATGCTTAGCAAGGAACCATGCTACAATGAAAAGACAGAAATATAAGAGTAACAAAGTAAATGAAAATAGTATGAAAAACTTCTAAACAGGGCTAAACTAGATGCATTTAAATGCAACTCCTGAAAACCTTGATGAACAGTAGTAAGTCTGTATTTAAAAGACTAGATAAACCATATAGCTGATCCAGATGGTAAAAAAAAAAAAAAGCAATCTATAATTATATGAGTATAGAGAGTTTTAAGTATTTTCATGAAAAAGTAAACAATAATGAATAATTATTTAGTATCGAAAATAATTTGACTTTAAAAGTAGAGAGTGCAAATGAGAAAAAAATAATAAAGTCCAAGTAAAGAAATACCTAATACAAGAGTCCAAATATTTGTGAAGTGGATCTTTGTCCAGAATAGTGTGCTGTTTGGAAACAATTTCTACAGTAGATTCAATAGATTCCATGGTTCTGAAAATTAATTAGAACCTTAAAATTAGCTATAGAAATTAGCTACAAACTAATGAGTTTGGGGGAAAAAAAGAAAGAACACAATATGCCAACTTTCCAAGCCTTTCTGCAAATAGACTTTCACATCTTAAAAATTACACTTGCTTTCAAGATTCTTTGCATCCATAACTTCACCTTTTTGCTCACTTGCTCACTCCCCAAGGAAGTCTAAAACCAAATAAACTGCTATAAATGGTTACCAATAAAGTATTATTTTCTAATCAATTTTTTCTTGATTTTTAAAATTGAAAAAGGTTTTATTACAATTAGGTCACTTCTCCTGGCATAAGGCCTCTGAAACATTGTTTCTCAGACACTAATGGGTCTTGGAAAAGTTTGAAACTCTCAATTCATTACGACTTTTGAGTAGCTGTTTTGTACCTAAGAATGAGAATTGATGGAGAGGTTGGGACTAAACACATAATTTTATGAAATATGATGAAAACATAAGGGTTTTGTTATGACGCACATAACAATCAAGAACCTGTTTCTTTTTAGCAAGCTCCTAAAAAGTACCTCCCATATAATTATTAAATAAAAACACTCACTTATTCAGTACTCAGCTAGCTTTTAAACTCTGAATAAGAGAAGTACACAGTGAGAGAGGTACTTACATGGTTTCCTTGGATACTGGATGATGCCATTCAGGTCTATGTTTTTATCTGAAAGTGGTGCCCTGCAGAGAAATGAGGCTTGGTGAGTGGCTGTTTATACATAGTAAGTAAATAGGAACTTTGTTTATTTTACAAAGCAGTTTTTTATTTTGACCCAGATTTCTTTTTCTTATCATACCCAAACCTTGTAAACATCAATAATATGGTAGAACAGGTACTTTGCACAACTCTTGGTAATATCACTTTAAAAATCATAATTATTAAAGCAGAAGCTCAGAATGCTTTGTCTAAGCACATTACTCCTTGGGCTACTTTATATATCTTAACTACTATATTTATGTCAGACAAATCAATGAACACTGCCTGCCTCTCTATTTTCCTTCAAAAGGAATTGTTCTCAAACTGTCAATAAAGAAATTAATCAAAAAAATTCACATAAATGATAAATGTCCTTACCTTAATCAAAGAGTAAGAGAACCCCAGCTTTACCAGCTCCTAAACATCCAGGGTTTCCACAGACATGAACTATCATTTTAAATATAGTAGTGGGTCCTAGACTCTCAATAGTTTAAGGGCTACGAGCACACAATTTTGACATTCAGTCTCTCAGAACTACATGCTGTCTAATTTTGGTAGCATGATTAATCCCTCCTATGTGATAAGTTTTAACCTTCTAATATTTCTCTGGATTGAAAAGAACAAACAAGCTACAGCAAAGAACGGCAACTAACTTTAACGCTTAACACAATTTAATAATCTGAAATGAAGTAAGTGTGTGCTATGTTTCCATTAAAAAGTTTCCAGCCACAATTAATTGAACAAAAACTTGTCTTGTTCCAAGATTATTCTTGGAAATGTAATTTTAAAGTCTGCGTGAAATGAGGAAACTTACTTTTTTACCATATGAAAGCAATCTCATTTTTTAGGAATGATTTTTGGATAGGCTTCCAATTTGATATTTTCCATTTGAACTAACTGCATAGGGGCTTGGCAGGGGGAGGGGAGGGAAGCAATTCTGTGTTCTTTTGCCAGCACTGACAAAGGTCTGGTTGTCAGTGATACCTTTACAGCTAAATTTACCCCAGAGTGACAGGAACAGGTGCACCTCGGCCTGCCAGACACTTGTGCACAGGGATCACGCATCTTACGGCTTGACGATCAAGGGGGGAAAGCCTGGGTCTTCATAGAAAAGGAGAAGAGACAAACGCAGCCCAAACTGGGGGGTTTCTCTTCAAAGCCAGCTGGTCTGGCTTTATTCTACAGGAATTTTTTTACCTGTCAGGGTTTGGACAACAAAGCCCTCAGCAGGTGCTGAAGGGTACAACTTCCTGGAGAAGCAGAAAGGCACTGGTGAGTTTCAATTGCCAAAATATATTTTTTAATCTTTAAAAGTTGATTTTGTTATCTTGGAAGAGGCACTGCTGAGGAACCTACATTCAGAAAGCTGATGAGACCATTGGAATCAGAGCCAACTAACCCAACAGTAGATTTGCCTGGTGTAGAAAGTAGAGCTGTTACCATTTGACAATTTTTTTCATTTAAAAAAAGAGTTTTATAGGAAAGACTTTATATTTTGAATGTTGGTCTCTTTCATTACTAACTCCAATATCTGAAAGATGAAGAATTAATTACATATATGATATTAGACTATTAGAATAAACACACAAATATCATTTCCTCTCTTTTTTACCTAATTCTGTCATAATCTATTCTGAATAAAATGTTTTTTTAATAAATCAAATAAAAATGTGAAATGGTACATGCTCGTTTCAAACGTTTCATGCGCTAACACTTTTTATGTGTGCATGTGACAAGAATATGATTAGAGAGAATATGAAATTAGTTTTATTTATAATACATGTATTGCACAGAATATTTAATAATTAAAAGTGGCAACATTTTCTCATTACCTTACAAAGAGTTTCTTTGGAGAAAAATCTTTGGAATAAACAACTAAGACAGTACTAAAGCATGTTTTTACGTCACTGATTTCCAAAATTAGTACATTTATATATTTGGTATTTTTATTTTGTGAATTCAAAAGTTTAGGCAAAAATATTTTTTTCAGAATAGGATTTTAATTAATACAAAACATGGAAAAATAAGACCACATGTCAGGATATATTTTTAAAAAGTGATTCTATTTCAAGGACTCATTCTTTTAACTACGCTTCACAGCATTTCTCTACAAATTGTTGTATTATACAAATTGAAAACATTTATTTAAGCAAGTAAGGAGCTCAAAGCTAAAGACTATACATAGTAAACATATGAAACCATTTTAACAACCAAATTCCATATTCACAAGCAACATGGGCTAATGAATGTAAAAGACACACAGCACACACCGATCAAGAATGCTATAAATTATTAGCCATAAAATCAATTTTCTGGGCTGCGGGGGGTACAATTGGTGCTTAAGAAGAGAAAGGCTCCTACCAATATAAATTACTAATATTATGAGGTAATTGTTTTTTTCTGATGATCTCGTAAATAATTTTCAATCTACATGCTTAACACACAGTTGTATAGTAGGAAAATAATAAGATCTGACGTTTTTAATGACCACTGCATCTAAAATAATTATCAGATCAATGATGATATGGATAAGCCACAAATTTATAAGTATCATACTCTTTTAGACTGACTTAATTGCTGTTTAAAATTATGAACTGTTTGTGGTTTAAAAAATTACCAGAAATGATCCGGCCAACCAAAAAATCTAATATTTTTAAAACATAATTAAAACCCAAATCTGATTTTCATTCTGAATTATTACATGTAGAATATGGTTCAGAAAGTTAAAGTATATTCTATTTTTTAAAAAGCAATATATTATGGTTTCAAACTGCTATTTCTGTGTGATATTCTGTCATCTTCATTATATTGCTCTGGCACCTAAGTAAACTTGGTCACCACATTTTTTAGATAACTCCATTAGTCTCTTAAAGAATGATTATGTACTGCATGCACTTGATAATTTTGTTATTTATCTGGTCTGTTAAATACTATATTCCTAAAGAATCAGAACACTCACTTCTAGAAATAAGTACAACAAAACTGAACGTATACTCTCAGGTCAACTTTAGAATTACATTTGTGAAGTCTTTATGTACAGTGTAATTACTATACTATTTGTCATTAACACTCAATACAAGCCATACAAAAGCTTCTTCCAAACTATTTTTTATGAGTCTTGTGAATTATTTGTGACTTAGCCTATTAGAGACAATGTTAGGTACAGCCCAAATATTTCCAAGTAACCAAAATTTGTCATTTTAACCATGCCCTGAATTGTGGGCTTCATCTAAAATTTCACGTTTTTTTCTTGTAATTATGGAAAGAAGTTTTAATTCCTAGTACAACTTGCAGCTACGTTTGTACCTTCCAGTAAACCTTCAACTTTTGTGTCACAAAAATACCTATGCCAACTCCCTCAATGTGGAAATGATTTCTTTTAATAAGTCTTAGTCAGAAATTATGATGACGTTGCAATGACTCATATGCATCCTAAAAGTTTAATTTAAAAGCATATTTTTAAATTTTAAGCATTATTTGCAATGCATCTTTGTATCTTAAGAATGGCTTATTTATAGTGGAGAAAAATTAATTTTTCTCCTGTTTCAGAAAGACATTTGAAAAACATTTTGTTTAACCATAGATGCACAGGGAAAATCTTGATTCTCCCAGCAACTAATTTCAATAAATTATACTGTGAATATCGATCTATTTAATTTCAGGACAATGAAGCTTCCAGCTAAAATGGTTTACTTGTAAGTATTTAAAGAAACAAAAATACTTTGGCAGCTTTAAATGTATCTCCTTATTGACCAGCCACCTGACTGACAGCTGTCAACTGTCTGTGGGCCAAATGTAACCCAGTAAAGATAAAAATTACATATTACTCATCCCTGTTGATAATACCTGGTGCCAGTAAGGTTTTCAAGTAGGAATAACTAGACTACAGATATAAAGAAGTAAAAAGGGAATCATTTCCACCACCCACCATCCCCCTTTGTCATTAACTTATTTCCCCTTCCTTTTCTTCTTATCCCACTTCTCTTGATGCCCATATCTCACACCTACAAAGAGTTAATTTCCTTAAAGGAACTTCAGATGTATGTAACAAGTGTGTGACTATGAAAATCCTGGGCAGCCAGGTAGTGATGCCCACACATTTCTTTCAATCAAATCTTCTTTTGAGCTCATGGAGTGTTTGAATTGTGGGAAAGAGTCTTTGATGCTTTCAACTACTCATTTAAAAAAAAAATGAAATGGAAGCACAAAAATAAAATTTACCCAAGGTCACCAACGTGAGGATGTAGATGTAGACTTGGCTCTACCCCCCAACTTCACATCCAGTGATTTTTTTTTTCTATTAGACTTTAAACATGTGGACAATAAAACTATAAGTAAAAGAGAACACATGGAAAATTAATGGGAGTGACATTCCATTGGGGAACTGTTTGCAGCCACCAAACTTAATACCTTATTAGAGAAATACAGTTTTATCAAAGCATATTAAAATGCAGCTCTAAAAAAAAGAACATAAACACATTTAAATATCTATGTTATAAACTCTTTTTTAGATTCTCCTTACTATTTAAACTGATTTCCAAACTGAAAATATTTATGGTGTATATGAAACAGCAGAAAGAAAAAAATAATAAATGGCAATATATATGTTTAGAAGATAAATGCATAAATGAAAAGTTCAGGTTGAAAAATTTGTCTGAAATATTAGAAAATAATTAAAAATACCAAATATACCAAAGCATAAGCACACATACATTACCTAAGTACAGAATATACTAAACAGTTCACATAACCAACTCAACAACTAACTAGCGTCCTGTGTGTGTGGGTGTGGGTGGGTGGGTGTGTGTGTGTTAATTACAAAACCTATCTGGACCCCAGAGGCCCCATCAGCAAGTGTTTCCTAACAGCTCAGAAATTCTATGACTCAACAATCCTGTATTAATATAAGTATCTTGTATTTATTCAAATTATTATTAATTATATTAACATTTTATATTGCTATAATATAATTTGTTGATAATGCTGCACATCATACTGATTCAATCAAGGTCATGAAAATAGATTCAAAATAAATATTTTATTCTTCTCTGACCCTCTAGAAAAGAAATCATTTAGGAGATAACTACCATGTTCTGAATTTAAAAGGATTTATTTTAACCCTGAGCTTTGGAGCTGTATTTGCCTGTGAGAAGTGTTTGCTTTAAAACCAAAACAAGCAAATGAATTTTTTAAAAGGGGAGGAACCTAAAACATTAATATAGGATATGGGAGGAAATTGTGGACAGGATTTCCCTGCAAGGAATTGGTCTAGAATAATCTTCAACAGCTCTATGATACCATTTAGCACCTAAATTATACAAAATATCTAAATTTACAAATGTATTTGCTTATTCTATTACATTTAGTCCAAATCAACATTATTAATCAGCAAACCACTTAATAATATGCGATAACAGTATGCAAATCAATTGCAAGCAAAATAATCAGTAAATAATATCCATTTCTAATAATTGTGAAAGACAAGGGTGTCAAAGCAAAATGTGCAAAAAATCCTGCATCTCAAAGGGTGTTAGTGAAAGTGAATGACTTTTCTCTCAGCTGCCTTTGAAGGATCTTAAATGTTTTCTCGTTAGAGCTAAAGAGTACTGTCCGAAGAGCACTGAGCAGAAGTAGGCAGCTCTGAGTCGCAATCTCTGTTTCACTGCTCAGTAATTTTGTGACTGGAAACAAGTCATGTAATCTCTGGGAGGACTCTGAAGGGATGTGACTCTTTGCGGGGCTATGCATAACTCAGAGGAAAAGGCAATTCTAGAAGGTGTTTATCCA